CCTCCCCCCACCCTCCCCCTACCCTCCATCTGCGATAGTGGGCGTGTCCTAACAATGATGTGTACGCAACTGCGTGTCTGCATATCTGCGCCTAACAAATGTGGTACTACGCACGACTGAAATTTTACGTTTATAATCGTAGCAACAGACCTCAGATGAGCCCAGATGCTCTGCGGCTCTTGTTTAGAGAGTAATTATCACAATTTTAAGGCTGCTAATTACTATTTTTTGCTTGGTGTAGCAACATTTTTCCCATCTGAAAGTGGCATGATGCAATTATCTCGCCATGCCAGCAGTTTTTTTCAACCGACGTATTTCTCGTCGCTCACGTCTCTCACTTTGAGTCGCTAGATTTTTGAGAATCTGATCACATGCGTGGCTTCGTGTGAGTTTGCTAACGAGCTAGCTCCATCACAATTATGGCATTGGCGAACAAAGTGGCTCTTCTGCGGATGTTTCAGCTACTGCTGCAAGGTAGCAGTAGTCAACTGCAAGGTTACTGAGTCTGTTTCAGCTACTGTGGCATGGTAGCAGTAGTCTACTGCAAGTTCTGTCCCGTACAACAAGGATAGTGTCTGTATCGTAGGCAGAGTAGAATTCTACCAGTTGGTTTGATAGCCGATTAGTTGTATTGCTCCAGCTCGGTCAGATAAACGAGGATATATGTGAGGCGTGGGGTTTAGATAGTGCTCATATTGCATTTGCTGCATGCAGCATCGTTCATGAATTATGTATATCGATTACATTTCTATCTAATGTCCACAGAAAGCTTTGACATCCAATATTTATGTCTACTACAGTACTATGATTGCTTTCTTATGCGTTGTCGTTTCACTCAAGACGTTGTACGTTGTGTTCCTATGTAGTATGGTCATTTGCCGCATTGTCCTGCTAGTTATGCCGTTATTGAACCCTGACTTCATTTTCGTTTCATGCGAACTTAGTTGTGGAATTTTCTTGGTGAATTTGCACTCAAAGATCGTAATTTGCAGTGGCGGGAGTCTCATGAATTGTTAATTAGTCTTTGTTAATGAAGAATATAGCTTCATTACATAATTAACAATATTACGCGTGGCCACACAAATACATGCCTGCATCGAATTTACGAAATGTCATCAATATACATGATAATATTCTAACGTATATAGCTACAAGCACCTATACGATGACGTCTTTTGTTAGATATGTTTTCGAATGTGGCTATCAGGTTATGCATTCCATTTACTACGCGATCCAAAGTCACTATCAATTACCTCTCAGCAGGGGAAAACTTGGATTACTTACGAATATATTAGCTCTGTCATACCACAAGTGTGACACAAGTGCCCAAGATGCGACCGGTATATGTGCGTATGCTGACCCTTATATTGGTCTCAGCGGCTGACTGTATAGGCGGCATATTACTTCATCTGCAAAGCTGTGTATATGTGTGTGCACGAGCGTGTACGAACGAGCGTGTGTGTGTGTGTGTGTGGGTGTGTGTGTGCGTGTGTGTGTGTGTGTGTGTGTGCGTGCGTGCGTGCGTGCGTGCGTGCGTGCGTGCGCGCGTATGTGTGTGTGTATCTGGATGGCGTATTTGTATCGATCTCCTGTTCAGATCTGTTAAAAGTAAAAGAAACACGACAGTTTACGTTCTTTTTCATCATCGCTGCTATATGTTACATTTTGTGTCAGATTTTCTTATTCGCAGTACGGTATTTGCACGGACAAATAGATTACGTGCCACAACCAGACCTATATATCTACCTCGAATCCCCCAACCATTTCGCGGTTTTGTTAATTAGATCGTGTGCTTCGCCATTGCTAAAATGCCTAAAAATGCATTCGATTATGCAACGTTTTCCTCCAACTATCCTAGGCTGGTAATGATGTAACAGACTATAATTGAATTCTGTACAGCTAGGAGTAAATTCAGTGTTTCGTTGCCTATCGACTCTATAGCAGCGAAGAATGTAGGGTAAGGGTAGGAAATTGTCTAGAATATGTAGATATAGCCACCTGAGAACAGAGCAAGGGTTGAGCTATTTTTAGAGGTGGTTCGATAATTCAATAATTTTTTTTGCCGAAAGCATGACGTTGCGGTAGAATTTATATATTTAGGTCGGAGGCAGTTACCAAACGTGAGTGTGTTGCTATATGAGTGCGTTTATCCCTGTCAGTGTCACACATCGCTGCATGGTGAAGGATTGACCGTACCGCGTCTTAACATGCTGGATGGCATTCGTGTACAATAGACCACCTGGTAACATGATGTTATTGATTCAGGGATAAGTGGCTGTGGTAATAAGGCC